AGCAAGGGAGGGTGGGTTGTAAACTAACAAGACTAATTAAAGCTACATATGTTTAAATTATGACTCAATGGAATTATGGGGAAAAGGAGATAGAGCAGCAGAAGTAAGGCAAGAAAAAAAAAGGGGGGCAATTAGAAGTAGAGCTGCCAGTGACCAAGAATAAAATGAAAACCAAGTCTGGCGAAGGAGAGTTAACCAGACAGTCTCATGTGAGAGGTAAGGGAGGAAAACAGCTAAAAACACTGACCTCAGGGCCAATACGGAAAGGAAAATGGAAATATCAAGGCATAGTGGCTGAGAGGGCAGGTCTTGAATCTGAGTTGGACTGACTCCTATCTACCTTAGGAAACTTAGTTTTTTCCTCTTTACCCATCTATAACACGACTTATTGCATCTGACACACAGTAGCTTCTCAATAAGCACTAGCTATTCATATGATTAACATTGACTATAAAGTGAGGGCAGAGGATAGGGTGGGGACAAACCCACAAATCGAGGGCTTTTGAGAGTAGAAATGGCATCACCCATAGAGCTGCGCCATAAGGGCATCACCTGGGAACTTGTTAGAAATGCAGACTCAGGTCCTCCCTGGGCTCTCTTAGAATCTCTATTTTGTTTGTTTGCTTGTTTTTTTTAAAAGATTTCTTATTTATTTACTTATGAGACATACAGAGAGAGAGGTAGATACATAGGCAGAGGGAGAAGTAGGCTCCTTGTGCGGAGCCTGATGTGGGGCTCCATCCCAGGACCCTGGGATCATGACCTGAGCTGAAAGCAGACGTTCAACCACTGAACCACCCAGGTGCCCCCAGAATCTTTGACAAGATCACTGGATGGTCCATCCGCCTATTATAAGTTACAGATAGTACTGCCCCTGGTCCCACTGATTATTTGGAAGAACCAGTTACAATGGCTGGTGGGCGATGCTGTAGCCAGCTAAAATTTGGAGGTAGAATTACTGTGTTAGGTAACCAGGAAGATCGTACCTAGGGCTTGCTCCAGGGTACTTGAGTAACTACTCTCTCAGATGAAAGGGGAGGAATTTGGTGGAGGATTTATGGACTGAGGCCATAAACCTGGGCCAGCTGCACAGTGTCAGGTGGGGTTATATGGCCTACACACAGAAACTGTGAGTGAAGGGGACCTATAAAAGAGGATAATATGTGAGGGAAGGGTGACAAACAGGGCCAGAGACAAGGGAGATTGAGAAGGAGAGAGATGAATGGTCAGCAGAACTGTTTTTATATGGGCTCTCTTACAGGCTGTGTGCCCACCCACACTTCCCTGCCCCCACCAAGAGCACTCCTATGGTCCAGCTAGATCCTTCCTCTATAACCTTCTTCCTCTATAACCTCAAGTCCACTGAGCACGACTGACGGAGAGGCAGCATGGGCAAGGGGCAGCACCCAAGAAGTTTTGCATCACTTTCCAGATATTCCTAAAGGCTTACAACACAGTTTGAAGAGAGTAGCATTACATTCACTTTCTAGAAAGGCAAAGTAAACACTGTCTTAAAAATAAAAGGATTCGGGACACCTGGGTGGCTCAGTGGTTGGGCGCCTGCCTTCCGCTCAGGTCGTGATCCTGGAATCCGGGATTGAGTCCCACATCGGGCTCCTTGCGTGGAGCCTGCTTCTCCCTCTCTCTCTCGGTCTGCTTCTCTCATGAATAAATAAATAAATCTTGTTTTTTTTTTGAAGCCAAGTTTTTTAACTAAATAAATAAAAGGATTCACGCAGACCAACTCAACCAAAATAGGTTCCATGGAGCACTGTTATGCCAGACCTGGGGATTGAGATGCTGGGAATTCAAAATATCAGACTCATTCCTCCCCAAGAGGGGCTCACTGGCAGGGGAATGAGCACAGATTCTATAGGCATCTGAAAGAATCTGTGACTTCTCAAGACTGCAAATAGTGGGGTGCCTGGGTGGCTCAATCCATTGAGCATCTGCTTTTGGCTCAGGTCATGATCTTGGGGTCCTGGGATAGAGCTCCTCGTAGGGCTCTCTCCCCAGTGGGGAGTCGGCTTCTCCCTCTCCCTCTGCCCCTTCGCCCCCAAACCCCCTCCACTCATGCTCTCTTTCTCTTTCTCAAATAAATGAATAAAATCTTAAAAAAAAAAAAAAGATAGGGCACCCAGGTGGCTCAGTGGTTGGGCATCTGCCTTTGGCTCAGGTCAAGATCCCAGAATCCTGGGATGAGGTCCTGTATCAGGTTCCCTGCCAGGAGCCTGCTTCTCCCTCTGCTTGTCTCTCTCTCTCTCTCTCTCTCTCTCTCTCTCTCTCTCTGTGTCTGTGTGTGTGTCATGAAAAAATAAATAAAAAATATTTTAAAAAAAGAGACTGGAAATAGCCCTCAACTTTCTCCACTCTGTATTTAAATCTATGATTATCCTTCTATTTTGGCCTTTTCAAAGACTCCAACATTGCTTTGAACCCCTGGAATCCACTCATATTTCTTATTTTGAGGAGTGGTATATTTGTCCATAGAGAGAAGAACATCTTTTTTTTTAATAAATTAATTTTTATTGGTGTTCAATTTACCAACATACAGAATAACACCCAGTGCTCATCCCGTCAAGTGTCCCCCTCCGTGCCCGTCACCCATTCACCCCCACCCCCGCCCTCCTCCCCTTCCACCACCCCTAGTTCATTTCCCAGAGTTAGAAGTCTTTATGTTCTGTCTCCCTTTCTGATGAAGAACATCTTCTTAATTCCTTTCTTGGTCCCTGCTTCTCCCATCCCTGATAATCATATTCCCATCCACATGGATTCTGCCTCTTTAAGACCCTCTTGGATCCTGTGCTGTGCTGAGGAAAGCTACTACTGACCAGTGAGAGTCAATAATTAAATCTCTAGAAATTTTGCAAGCTGGTTGTTAAACATAATCGTAAAAATAAATAAATAATAAGTTGCATGAACTTCCAATTAAATAAATTATATTCATAATATGTTCAAAATCCACCATTAATTATTTTACTACATTTGATTATTGCCTATCTCTTCAGCTCCTTTAAATCAATTGTATTTGTGTGGCGGAGATACTATATAATGATATGTTAGTACATATCTCTTCAAACTTTGTGTTCAGTAACTGCACCTTGAAAGCTGGAATTGACCACAGAGGGAATATTTACACCACGGAAATTGGCAAAATGTACACATCAGGGCTTGATTTGTTGTTTTGTTGATGATCTAGACTTAAGAAAGTGATGGAGAAAATGTTAATCATTCAGATTAAACCTAAAAGTGGGTCACGTCTCTAGCTGTGCTATTGTGAATAGCACAAAAATTGAGGAAATGTTCTTCCAGAATTCAAAAACTATTATCCAATTCAGCAGTCACTCATGTCAGTGACAAATGAGTGAAGTTAAAACATTCACCTTCATTGCTTAACTTCTTACTTGTCAGTATAAACCAAAAAGCAGCCAGCATTCATGTTGGGACTATACTCATTGGTTAATTGCAAACATAGGCTGACTAAGGATGTTAGAGTTCAGCAAAATCAATGTATGCAGTCTGTGTGAATCAACTGGCTGTATGAAATTTGCAATAAAGAGTCATATATTTTACTACTCATCAATTGTGCAATATGCATATCCTTCATGTAAATAAAATTTATTTTAAACTTATATATATATGTGTGTATAGTACGCATGTTTGTTTATTTTTCTTTTCACTGTGCTGGAAGCTCCTGACTGGAGGGTCTGGAACATTCCCACTCTTGTTTCCCTAGGTCAGTATGTCTGTTGGCATCCCAGGCTTGATCCCCTCCAACCCCACATGGATATTACTACCAGAAGAATTTTTCTGATATTTAAATGCAATCATGGCATCCCCTTATTAAAATTATTAGTGGTTTTCCAGAACTTTCTAAATGGGATGCAAGCCATAGAAGGCTTTTCTTGCTCTGCTCTGTTCACCTCTGTAGCCTCCTCTTCTATCAGATGCTCACATTCACACTTCACTACAGTTATGCCAAACTGCCTGCTGTTCCCAGAATATCCTTTACTTATTCATATCACTGGGCTTTTATGCATGTTTTCCTCTGCCTGCGATAGCTTGCCCTAACTCCTCTCCTCCTACCTCCTGCTAGTTCACACCCAGCATTCAAACCTGTTCAAACACCATCTCTTCCAGGAGCCTGCACCACTTCAGCACTTTCTACTGCCACATGCTGTCATGCAGGCTCACCTCTTTGGCTCCTGCATTCACCTGGAAGATTCTCCAGGCAGAGACAGGTGTCCCCAGAACCTAGCACTTGGCTTGGCAGCCAGGAGATACCTAGTAAGTGCTTGCTGAATTGATTAATTCATTGATTTCAGCTATAACCTATAGCAAATAACAGGATGTAGCCAGGAGGAAAATACACACTTCACCTCCGAATTCAGTTGTCACTTAAAAAACAAAAGTCATTGACACTTTATTTTCCATTGTTTTCTGTAAGTCAACTAAATAAAGCCCAAAATTCTACTCTAAAGCACTGACCTACTTTAAGCATAATCAAAATATCCATTTCTCAAAGATAGTGACAGTTGTCATTTATTGGACTACTCCTCTGCTTCAAGCATGTGCTAAGTGCCTGAAATACATCACCTCATGTATCCTCAATAACTCTCTAATGTAGGTACTATTATCCCTATTCTACAGATGAGGAAAGTGAGTCTCAGGAAAATTAAAACATTACCTTTGAATTTGAATTTGCTAACAGATGCTGAATAGCAAAGTAATGATTCAGACAAGGTTTGGTCTGACTCTAAACCCCAAGTTTTCTCTGCTAAGCCCATTCTTCGCTGCTTTAAAGCAAATCCACATTTGAACCAGGCAGGTTCCTATAGTAGCCTTGAATAAATAATACTCCAAATAATACTGCAGAATTCCTAACATGGGGCTTAGTCCAGTTGTGTTATCCTTATTCCTGATACCCAAAGCTAAGGAATAGATTTGCCCTTCCCCTGACCCAGATTTATGGAAGAAAAGTGAACATCACCAAGAAGTACCTGTGTCCTGAGTCAGAGTCTGCATCCGAAAGTCTCTGCAATCATGATCAGGTCTAGGCCTTCATCAGGGACAATTTTCCAACAACAAGCAGGGGTCTCTTGCTTGCCTCTGTTGAGTTACTGAGGCCACTGGCACTGCTGCCACTGTTTACTGTTTGTTACTAAGCACTTGGCTGCCCAGGGAGTGAGTCAACAAAGGGCCTTCCCTTTCCTGACTCTTATTTTCTTGCCCTGAGCCCCATGCAATCTCTGGCCTATTCACAGGCAGAGCCACCCCACTATAACTGCATCCCCAAGGCCTGTGATCTGTAAGAGAGCTTGTAAGAGCTCTAGTGGATTAGGTGCCACTGAAGACAATAGGATTGTGGCTCAGAGGGAACTTTTACACGGATGTCACTTTATTTCCTGGTCCAATCAAAAGAAAGGGCCTTGCAAGGAATAAGAAGGCCAGCCAAGAGCTGAGTCTTAGTTTCATTTATTCAACAGCCCTCCATGCTGTTCAACAGGGTTAGACTTCGGACCTGCAGTCAGCAGGGCAGAGTAACAAGCAAGATCATGATGGGGAACAAAGACTTGGAACTGCTAGGGCAAAGGCAAAAGGAATGTGGTTGTGATTGTTATATACACACAAAATTAATCATCATGATAATAAATATAACTAAATAAACAAAGAAGGCAGGAGGAAACTTTTGGAGGTGACAAATAGGTTTATGGCATAGATCATAGTGATGCTTTTGCAAGTGGATACTTATCTCCAAATTCATCACGTTAAATAAATACATTAAATATACACAGCTCTTCTACCATCGATCATACCTCAATAAAATGCTTTGTTTTGTTTTTAAAAGAGGAATGTGGTCAGAGAAAGAGGAAGAGGAATTGTCACACTCTCTGGTACTTAGATTCAGAAAAGAACCAGCAGAGGAGAACAGCAAGAATTAGATTCCAGTTCTGCAGAAGTAGGGGTGGAAGAACAGGTCTTTGGAGCCCCCTAAATAAACAGCAATTTCAAAACTGACTTTCAAACAAAAATATGCATTTTACCTCATATATTGACCAAAAAATAAAATGACACTTGATGAAACTCAGTGCTTGAGAACATGGTGGACAAGCAGTCCCTTGCCAGTAGTGGGAATGTAGATCGGTGCCTGCTTTCGATAGGGCATTTGGTAATATTCATTAATACTGTAAATGTAAAAAAAAACTGTAAATGTACAAAGCATTTGGAAACCTATTTGTGAGGAACTGACCCCATGAGCATTCTTGCAAATGTTCACTCAAGCACATATAAAAGGACACTTACTGCAGTATTTTCTTTTTGTTATGGTGAAAACCTGGAAGCCACCAAAATGTCCATCAGTAGTGGACAGGTAAGTAGATTGTTCTTCACACACATTGAAAATCGAACTACACAGAAGATGGCAGGAGAGTAGGGTCCCCAAGTCACCTGTCCCCACCAAATTACCTAGATAACCTTCAAATCATCCTGAAAATCTACGAATTCGGCCTGAGATTTAAAGAGAGACCAGCTGGAATGCTACAGTGAGAAGAGTTCGCGCTTCTATCAAGGTAGGAAGACGGGGAAAAAGAAATAAAGAAACAAAAGGCCTCCAAGGGGGAGGGGCCCCACGAGGAGCCGGGCTGAGGCCGGGGCGAGGGTCCCCAGGACAGGAGAGCCCCGTCCCGGAGAAGGAGGAGCTGCACCAACCTTCCCGGGCGGAAAGGCGCCCGCAGAGAGTTAGAGCAGGACCCCGGGAGGGCGGGGATGCCCTCGGGCTCCCGGGGACACTAACAGACACCTGCCCCCGGGAGAGTGCGCCGAGCTCCCTAAGGGCTGCAGCGCGCACGGCGGGACCCGGAGCAGCTCCGAGGGGCTCGGGCGGCGGCTCCGCGGAGGGGGCTGCGGGGCGGGAGCGCGAATCCACCAGCGCAGGCCCCGGAGCACAGGGCGCCGGGACACAGCCCAGGATCCGGCCTCCCCCGGGACAGGCAGAGGCCGGGAGGGCCCAGGACAGCAAGGACGCTCCTGCCCCGAGCTGAGCAGATCAGCGGCCCCGCCCCGGAGCCTCCAGCCCTGCAGACCGAGAGCCCCGGAGTTACTGCGGGGGCTGACTCCAGGGCTCCAGAGCTGGCCCCGCCACTGCGGTTGTTCCCCCTGGGGCCTCACGGGGTAAACAACCCCCACTGAGCCCTGCAGCAGGCAGGGGCAGAGCAGCTCCCCCAAGTGCTAACACCTGAAAATCAGCACAACAGGCCCCTCCCCCAGAAGACCAGCTGGACGGACCAGTTCCAGGGGAAGTCAAGGGACTTAACGTCTACAGAATCAGAAGATACTCCCCCGTGTTTTTTGTTTTTTGTTTTCTTTTTTCTTTTCTTTTTGATTTCTGATTGCTTCCCCCACCCCCCTTTTTTCACCTTTCTTTTTCTTTCTCTTTTTCTTCTCTTTTTTCCCTTTTTTTCCTTCTTTTTCTTTTTTCTCTTTCTCTTTTCTTTCCTTCTCTCTCTTTCTCTCCTTTTCCCAATACAACTTGTTTTTGGCCACTCTGCACTGAGCAAAATGACTAGAAGGAAAACCTCACCTCAAAAGAAAGAATCAGAAACAGTCCTCTTTCCCACAGAGTTACAAAATCTGGATTACAATTCAATGTCAGAAAGCCAAATCAGAAGCACTATTATACAGCTACTGGTGGCTCTAGAAAAAAGCATTAAGGACTCAAGAGACTTCATGACTGCAGAATTTAGATCCAATCAGGCAGAAATTAAAAATCAATTGAATGAGATGCAATCCAAACTAGAAGTCCTAACGACGAGGGTTAACGAGGTGGAAGAACGAGTGAGTGACATAGAAGACAAGTTAATGGCAAAGAGGGAAACTGAGGAAAAAAGAGACAGACAATTAAAAGACCATGAAGACAGATTAAGGGAAATAAATGAAAGCCTAAGGAAGAAAAACCTATGTTTAACTGGGGTTCCCGAGGGCGCCGAAAGGGACAGAGGGCCAGAATATGTATTTGAACAAATGCTAGCTGAAAACTTTCCCAATCTGGGAAGGGAAACAGGCATTCAGATCCAGGAAATAGAGAGATCCCCCCGCTAAAATCAATAAAAACCGTTCAACACCTCGACATCTAATAGTGAAGCTTGCAAATTCCAAAGATAAAGAGAAGATCCTTAAAGCAGTAAGAGACAAGAAGTCCCTGACTTTCATGGGGAGGAGTATTAGGGTAACAGCAGACGTCTCCACAGAGACCTGGCAGGCCAGAAAGGGCTGGCAGGATATATTCAGGGTCCTAAATGAGAAGAACATGCAACCAAGAATACTTTATCCAGCAAGGCTCTCATTCAGAATGGAAGGGATAAAGAGCTTCCAAGACAGGCAGGAACTGAAAGAATATGTGACCTCCAAACCAGCTCTGCAAGAAATTTTAAGGGGGACTCTTAAAATTCCCCTTTAAGAAGAAGTTCAGCGGAACAATCCACAAAAACAAGGACTAAATAGATATCATGATGACACTAAACTCATATCTGTCAATAGTAACTCTGAACGTGAACGGACTTAATGACCCCATCAAAAGGCGCAGGGTTTCAGACTGGATAAAAAAGCAGGACCCATCTATTTGCTGTCTACAAGAGACTCATTTTAGACAGAAGGACACCTACAACCTGAAAATAAAAGGTTGGAGAACCATTTACCATTCAAATGGTTCTCAAAAGAAAGCAGGGGTAGCCATCCTTATATCAGATAAACTAAAATTTACCCCGAAGACTGTAGTGAGAGACGAAGAGGGACACTATATCATACTTAAAGGATCTATCCAGCAAGAGGACTTAACAATCCTCAATATATATGCCCCGAATGTGGGAGCTGCCAAATACTTAAACGAATTATTAACCAAAGTGAAGAAATACTTAGATAATAATACACTTATATTTGGTGACTTCAATCTAGCACTTTCTACACTCGATAGGTCTTCTAAGCACAATATCTCCAAAGAAACGAGAGCTTTAAATGATACACTGGACCAGATGGATTTCACAGATATCTACAGAACTTTACATCCAAACAAAACTGAATACACATTCTTCGCAAGTGCACATGGAACTTTCTCCAGAATAGACCACATACTGAGTCACAAATCGGGTCTGAACCGATACCAAAAGATTGGGATCGTCCCCTGCATATTCTCAGACCATAACGCCTTGAAATTAGAACTCAATCAGAAGAAGAAGTTTGGAAGGACCTCAAACACGTGGAGGTTAAGGACCATCCTGCTAAAAGATAAAAGGGTCAACCAGGAAATTAAGGAAGAATTAAAAAGATTCATGGAAACTAATGAGAATGAAGATACAACTGTTCAAAATCTTTGGGATGCAGCAAAAGCAGTCCTGAGGGGGAAATACATCGCAATACAAGCATCCATTCAAAAACTGGAAAGAACTCAAATACAAAAGCTAACCTTACACATAAAGGAGCTAGAGAAAAAACAGCAAATCGACCCAACGCCCGGCAGAAGAAAAGAGTTGATTAAAATTCGAGCAGAACTCAATGAAATTGAGACCAGAAGAACTGTGGAACAGATCAATAGAACCAGGAGTTGGTTCTTTGAAAGAATTAATAAGATAGATAAACCATTAGCCAGCCTTATTAAAATAAGAGAGAGAAGACTCAAATTAATAAAATCATGAATGAGAAAGGAGAGATCACTACCAACACCAAGGAAATACAAACGATTTTAAAAACATATTATGAACAGCTCTACGCCAATAAATTAGGCAATCTAGAAGAAATGGACGCATTCCTGGAAAGCCACAAACTACCAAAACTGGAGCAGGAAGAAATAGAAAACCTGAACAGGCCAATAACCAGGGAGGAAATTGAAGCAGTCATCAAAAACCTCCCAAGACACAAGAGTCCAGGGCCAGATGGCTTCCCAGGGGAATTCTATCAAACGTTTAAAGAAGAAATCATACCTGTTCTACTAAAGCTGTTTGGAAAGATAGAAAGAGATGGAGTACTTCCAAATTCATTCTATGAGGCCAGCATCACCTTAATTCCAAAACCAGACAAAGACCCCACCAAAAAGGAG